TGCGCGTGTGTGTGCGAACATGTGCACACGCGAGCTTGTGCTAGATCGAGCGCGCGATGCTAGAATGGCAGAAGACATAGATCATGGCGGATGACGTATGATTGCATTCGGTGCTCTTGTTGGTAACGAAGAAGAGGGGGAGGAGAGAAGAGAATCGAGGTTACCCAGGGGATGGAAATGTTCAGATGAAGGATAGGGTATGACCAGGCCGACCGTGATAGGGTGCAGGAACTTCGAGGGGGAGAACGCCTCTCTCGCTGGCGAAACCTCGGAATGTCCTGGCCACTACTATGATCGCACGAGATCGCGGACGTATGCATCCTTCTCCATTATCCGCGCTGCCGCCCGGTGCCAGATATTACGGTGCTAGATTTCCCGGCTCTCGTTGAGTAATGATCGAGTCGCGACAAATTTTCGGCCCGCAAAGAGGGACGCGGTGCTGAGGGCGAGCATCAGTCGAATTATTCAGCCGGATTATTCAGTAGACGCTTAGGTCTCTACTAAGCTAATACTTAAGACAGCATTTGATTAATTTTCTACAATGATAGGCAGTTTCTGTAAAATAATAATATTCATTTCTTTATGTAGTAGAGCTTCTTTCGAAACTTGGAAAATATTTTCAATACGCAACTGCATCTCGCTCCCTTACTTCAAAAGTCGATACAATTACAGAAATTAAACCAGAAAAAAGGAGAAACTATTTTTCAACTTGACAGAGAAAATCATTGACTGCTTAAATAATATCGACCAAAAGAATATATTCTTAACATAATCAAATGTTATTTTTGTTTCAGCTCTTAAAAATCATCTTTTTTTTAACTATAATAATTTTGACAATTTTTTAAATAAAATTAGTTCACTTTTGACAATTGATAGGATAATGTTTATTTAATTTATTTATGATAATAACTACACAATTCACATTTTTTAGTTGTATTACTTTCGAAGCAAGGGATCAGCGATATCTTTATATCGCTTTACAAATACGATTGCTGTAACATCATTGTCTTTCTTCCCATTTTTGAACTTAAGATAATTTCTATATAACTATCCAGTTTGAATTAACAAAAAATATTAGCGATATAACAAAATAAATTTTGTTTAAAGGAATGTTTAAATACGCATCTAAGTTCTCTGATTTTATTATTGTACTAATTAATTAAATCGTTAAATTATTAAATCTGGCTAAGATCCTACTGAAATGAAAATTATGGGTAATGTAGAACACTCAATGTGCAACAGCGCGACGAATGAAGAAACTTTCGGATGAATATTCGCGAGAATGAGATCGTCCATCCACGTCCATCTTTCAACTCATCTTTACGAGTTTAGTTTCGCGCTATATTGTATGTGCAGTGAATCCCCGGTGCTCTTAGAAACTACATCGTATAATTTTCATCAAATACAGAATTATTCGTTTATCCTATATACTTTATACTCATCAACGCGATGCGATCTCGATATTTTTACAACAAATAGAATAGCACAAAGAGATGAAAAATCTTGGAGATTTCGTGGAATATTTATAATAAAAAAACGTTAAGAAAAACATGGGCATGAAATGCAAAAGCAAAATACAAATGATTGTTAAATTCTACATTATCTGTAGAATTCAATAAAAGAAAGTAAAAGCCACGCACAAATCTCGCAAAATTGATGAAGAATTTCTCTAAGCTATAAATACAGCCTTCTTGGCATCGTCGGAGACGTCATATCGGAAACGCGTAAGGAAAATGCTCTTGTTAATTCGTTTTATCCTTGAACCACATACAGAGGAACGTATCAGTTGCGAGAAACTCTACGGCACGAGGCTAGTATATGCCGTGTTAGTGGTGATAGTGGTAGTGGCACTGGCTAAGCTGTAAATTTGGCGTATAACCATTCGAGGGTGGTCCGAGTAGGCCAGGTCTCTCTCTCTCTCTCTCTCCCCCCTCGTTCTGCTTTTCGGAGGTAGTCGACGAGGGGGTGGACGGCAGGCAGGGGGGTGAGACAGGAGACGGGGGTCGTAGAAGCATTCATAGCAGGAACCAGAGGGTGGCTTCAGTGGAATGCGTCCCGTTTAATATCGCGGAACATTATATATCGCCTCTCTTGTCCCTACGTTGCCCGTGTTGAACGTGGTATAACGCATACGAACACATCCTCGCCCGGCGAATACACGTACACGCGACGACGACACCTTAGCCCCGCTTATTCCGCCGTGTGTCCGATAACGCACTCGCGAGCTCTCGGAGAGACCTTTTCATAACGCCAGCGGGATCTTCTGCAAGATCCATTGACGGAGTTATTTATCGCTAATCGCAGGAAAGTGCAATGGAAAGATCCGATTCAGTCCGCCGACAATTTTGGCTTCTCTCAATCCCTTAATCCTCTCCAATGTATCTAAAGAGACGCACTGACTTAGCGCTGTAAGAAAATGTAAAGAGATTAATATATAATCTCTGTTCAAAATTGAAATTGTAATCCCCGAAAGCGATTAAATATTATGTAGAGTCTCTATCTCTTTTTTTTTTTTTCAAAATTAATG